GTGTGTGTGTGTGTGTGTGTGTGTGTGTGTGTGTGTGTGTGTGTTTATTGGTTTGTGCCAGATCACTGACTTATTGACATTTAGTTTGTTGTTCCTTGTAACTTCATCGTCTGCACAGAGAAAATAATCCTCCTGCTCGTTGGTCTTTTTCTCCTCCTCCCTCTTTTCAGTTCATCTTATATTTCTATCAAATGTATTTTAGTGTATTCAGCTTGAAGTGTGATGAATGAATAATAAATACAGGTTATGATGACTAATGTGTGATCGGTTGTTTTAACATTTAAACTCAAAGAGAATTCTTTAGTCTTTGTGTTTTTTTTGGGGGGGTGTTATTAAGAAACGTTAACTAATTTACTCTTGAGAACATTTACCGTCTTTTTTTAAAACAGCAAGTGAAGCTGAGCAGTCCAGACTACGTAGACTGTGACAAAGAGGAAGCTGTGGCCGACTTCCTCAAGAGGATCGACTGTTACAAGTTGACCTATCTCCCCCTGGACGACGACAAGGACAGGTCCAGGATCCATCTTTACCTTCCAGTAGTTATGAACCACTGTGCTTCATTGTTATGCATCATGATGCTTTTTACATTTCCTCCAGTAACAAGTGTTGTTTCGAGGCCGCGGAGCCTTTTTATTAGTTTGGTTGGCTTCAGGAGAACTCAGTGAACTCAGAGCCACAGACAGTGAGGGTGCTGAGGGACAGACCCACTTCATGGGAGCTGAGGTTGAACAGAAGACCTTCAGCTTCATCCGCAGCTGTACCGCAAAAAACTGTTGTGTCTATGAAACGATTGTCTGTGTTTTGTCTTTACGCAGGAATCTGTCTTACATTAAGATCTTCAACGTGGGCAGCAGGTACCTGGTGAACCGGGTCCAGGACCACATCCAGAGCAGGATCGTCTACTACCTCATGAACATCCACGTCACCCCGAGATCCATCTACCTGTGTCGCCACGGCGAGAGCGAGCTCAACCTCGTGGGTCGCATCGGGGGAGACTCTGGGCTGTCACCGCGCGGGGCAAAGGTTGGGAGACTATGGTTTGTGTGTGTTTGTGTGTGTTTGTGTGTGTCTGTGTGTGTCTGTGTGTGTCTGTGTGTGTCTGATGCAGCAGACCCTGTCTGTACACTCATGTCTTCAGTGTGTACCTGTCAGTTTGCCAGTGCTCTGGGAGCATACATGCGAGGACAGTGCATCAGTGACCTGAAGGTGTGGACGAGTCACATGAAGAGGACCATCCAGACGGCAGAGGCTCTGGGAGTCCAGTACGAACAGTGGAAGGCCCTCAACGAGATCGATGCTGTGAGTGATGGACACGCAAAAACACGTTAATTACATGTTAATAACATGTTTACAGCATGTTGTAGTGCAGTGCCCTCGATTACAGCAGTGGACTTTAGATTGTGTTTCTGTGTTCGCGGCCTCAGGGCGTGTGTGAGGAGATGACCTATGAGGCGATTCAGGAGAATTACCCAGAGGAGTTTGCACTGAGGGACCAAGACAAGTATCGCTACCGCTACCCCAAAGGAGAGGTGAGCGTCGGCTGATGGGATTATTATTTTTATTCACTTCCTCGATTCATCTTTAAGTTTTATAAGTGTCCGACAAAGGTTCAAGAGCTGGAGTTGTCCTCTTCAAAATGATTTTAATTTAAAGTCCAGTATCCAAATATTTTCAGTTCAGTTTTGTTAACGTACCTTGTCGATCCTGTTTCTGTGCATCAGTCGTACGAGGACCTGGTCCAGCGTCTGGAGCCCGTCATCATGGAGCTGGAGAGGCAGGAGAACGTTCTAGTCATCTGTCACCAGGCGGTTATGAGGTGTCTGCTGGCCTACTTCCTGGACAAGAGCGCCAGTGAGAGAAAACACGTTTCCTTGATATTCTACAGAAGCTGATCGTCTGCACGAGTCCCAGAGTATAGACTGACTTTTCTCTGTTTGTGTCAGATGAGCTTCCGTACCTGAAGTGTCCTCTGCACACGGTTCTGAAACTCACACCAGTCGCCTACGGTCAGTCCCTGCCCGACATTCGTCTTCTCACATCACCACAGCTTCTTCCTAGTCTTGATCCGGGACCACCAGCTTGGTCCAGACTGAAATATATACGAACTACTGTTAGATGTTCAGACTTTTATTAATATTAATACATTTGATAATCTTTTAATGTTTCTGCCATCATCAGGTCACAGTTATAATAAGAGCAGTTTGGTGTCTGATCTCTGTCCCTGTCTCTCAGGTTGTAAAGTGGAGTCCGTCTTCCTCCACATCGAAGCGGTCAACACACACAGAGACAAGCCCGAGGTAAAAGCAGCAGTCGTCCACACAGAGACACTTTCATCATCTCCATCTAAAATAAGTTTTCTAGCAGGTTCATAAATAGACACTGTGCATTTGTCTCTTTGTCAGAATGTGGACGTGGACCGAGACCCAGCGGAGGCGTTAGAGACGGTGCCGGACCACATCTAGAGGAGGAATCAGACAAGCGAGCTGCTTTCAGCTGACGGAGAGAGAGGCCTTATTTTTAACTGAAGTAATTCTAGTGATCGTTGTTCATGTGGAAAACTCCTCGACAATGAGAGGGAGTCATGTCTCAGCCTACTTCCATTGTAAATGCACTTTATTTATAATGTAGGGCTCAGGCCAGATGTCGGACAGGAAGAGGAGCTTAGCCTAAATACTCAAAACGGGGAAGCGGCTGGCTTAGCGGTGTTTGAAGGTCGGTTGAAGCTAGCTGCTAAAATGAAGCTAAACAATTAACGCACCGTGTCTCGGCGGACCCCTCCAAAGAAACGACATGAAGTTGTGTGTTACCGTTGGCGTTTGTGTCGTTGTGCTAGTTAGGTTGTCGATGTCTCCACAAGGCGCCTTCCGACAGCGGCTAGCGGTTTCCCCTTTATTTAGTCTTTATGCTAAGCTAAGTTTATCACCTCACATTAGGCACAGACACCATGTGCCTCACGTAATTTAAAATATACATAACTCTATGCACCCGACACGCACACGCACACCAGGTGTAGTGTGTTTGTGTTGTCGTATGTTTTTAATGGACCTTGGTCATTTTAATTAGTAACACAAGGGGACCTGGTGCGATACGAATAACTGTGGTGCAACGCGTCAGTTTTCTAAACATGACGACGACCGAAACGTTGAAAACCTCGTGAACGTGTCGATGTCGTTGGGTCTGTGGAGGCGGACGTCACCTGGTTCTCTGGGGAGCATCAGTGATACCTAGTGGTCATGAAGCTGGTTAACCAGTGGCTCCGTTAACTCCGGGTTTCACCACAGAACAGAGAACTGCAGAGACCAAACAGCGACACCTGCTGACATATCTGGTTACTGCAGTAGAAACAAATCAGCCGTATAAAGATGTAGAAACTATTCGAGTTATCTTCATACAATGAAAACTATT